AAACTCCCGAGGGTATCGAAATAACTTCAATGTCATGATATTATATGAACATCGTCGATCAAAAATAGGTACAGAAATGTAACTTCGTAATTGAATTTTCAAAGTTGAGTTGAGTATAAAAATTCAATCAGCAGTACAATGAAAGTTGCCGAGGCAAATTCAAACAGATTTTCAAATCTAAGAAAAAATAATATAGCAAAAAATAACATCTCGAAATTTTCGGTGTGCTTCAGTAGTACTCGAGAACTTTGCAACTCTCTATCTTTTACCGTTTACGGAATCCCAGATGCATAGACTCGAATTTGAATAGTGCAACACCGAGATGATATGGATATTCATATAAGCGGCTAGTGGAATAAGTGGGCGATACTTGTTGACGGACACAAGGAGATTCCCTGATCATAAATAGTGAATCCATAAAATGACAAAAAAACAGAGTGGTGCTTCGAATTTCCAATACGCAAGGATTAAAACTAAAATTTATCGAATTTTTCAACTACCTTTCAGTATTTGAGAATTTTGTTATGGTTTATATCACTTTTATGCCGAACTTACTTCATTAGTATTTTAATTAATACCTTATGTGTCAACTCTTTTTCCACCAGGATCATTCCGAGGCCTAGAGTGGTTGCTTGCTCGCCACCCTGTTTTGCCTTAACTACAAAGAAATGTGATTCTTTTATCAAAGACGAAGATTGAAAATTTCTACCTTGTGTCGTTCCATTGGCCACACCTGTCTCATGTTTATGATCAAACACGGTGACGCAATTTTCTTCAAAATCAATTATACTCTGTTTCTTATATAATAGTGAAGAGTAACGAATGCCTATTATAAATGCAAAACGCTAACAGAGTGCTCAAACGGAATTTTGTGATTTCGTTATGATTGTCACAACTGTATAGTTCGGTTTATAGTACTTTATCGGGTCCACCCTATTTTGGTATTTCAAAAGGATTGCACACAAAAGATTTCACGGGCTTTTAGGTTGTTTCATTATCTGAAATGGCATGTGTTTGGGTATTTATCAGAAATACTTGATAAAATTAATAACTATGTTTATTTATTTATATACAATTGATACTCTTACAACATTCTGATTTCAAACAAAAATAATGGTGTGTTATCATCAGAAAAACTCAGTAGGGTGTTAATGACGGTTCTCCATCCACTCGATCTTGAATTTGAATGACGTTACACGACCTTGAGCTATGTGCGTGTCATATGACCTTGAAGGTCCTGAACGAATTTGAGCTATGAGCACGTCATATGACCTTGAGCATGGAGTTTGCCCTTGACGATTAACTTTGTCCTTGAGATATCACTTCGAGCTACGGCCACATCATATGTCTTTGATAGGTAGAAGGTGTAACCTCGAACACCTCTCTTAATGATAATTCCTACAGTTTTCAGCTTTCACATTCAGTTCACACAACCTCAAGTATTTGAGTATTTGTTGAGTTCCAAGGTGACATCAACAAGTATCTACCAATTCAAGCAGTGAGTGTTGTCGTGTTCATCTGAGTTTTGATGAATTACTCAAATTATGATTTGAGGGTATGTTTTGATACTGGAGAAATGCGAAAACTTTTAGAGGGTGGTGAGAAATATGAGCTTGGTGTGGCGATATGTCATAAGTACTTGTTTGGAACAGAAAATCATAGATAATTATCAATGAAAATTATGGGATTTTAACTTACAAGAGGAAGAAGAGCATGTACGAGAGGGAAAAAGTGAATTTTTCAATAATGACATTGTGGATAATTGAAATATGTTGTACAAATAATATGTAATATAAATGAAACCATTTTGAAATCATATTTACCTATATCCATTCGGATAATGAATAAAAGATACAAGGATTATTGATTGTTTTATTTATCAATATCAAGCATTTACATGTCAATATTTTCATAAATCAAAATGAACAGTATTACTAAGATTTTCATTTATTAATATCAAACATTCACATGACAATCTTATTACAATCCAGTCTGAACAGAGCCATTAAGGGCATTACAAGATTAAACAGCATCGTGGAGGATAGGTGATATGTTTAGAGATAGTCGAATATTATTATTCGCATGTATGAACTCCGTCACATTTTTTGATATATTATCGAATGTGTCGATGTTTTGAAAGCCGAAAATGATGTATCGAGTTCTTTCGACGCTGTTGGTTGTCTTCACGCCCCATATATCTGAGGCTGTATCACGAAGTGTGGGTAATTCATAAAAGTCTCACATACGATAAGCCACCTTCACTTAAGCATTAGTACCATTTTTATTGATGCCGTTCAATAGTTTCAGTTTCTGGCGATCTTCCGGCACAATGTGTCATCAATGAATGAATTTTTGAATGAACGTGCTATAATCAAAATGAGCTTCTGTTTTACATTCAATATTCCCTCATTGTAATCTACAGTAAAACCCATGAGATACTTCAAGGGTAATACATCTCTGAATATATCCAATATATCTAGTTTATTTACATCAAGTCCCAATCCTATTGGCAATAGCGTATTCGCATGTGTTTGCCCGAATGATATAATCGTTTTCATTGTGATGGTTATACCAGGTTTTCTAATAACAACCACTTGTACGCTACCCATTTCATAACGAATTTCGTCGGAGTGAAAAGCAAGGGCGTCATTAGAGAGGCAGCACTGCTTCGTGACATCAAATGGTATGCTGCCCCTTGATGTAGATGTGACTGTCTGCGATATCGAGTATAAGATCTTAAAAATTTATTGGGATTCTACTTTCATCTGAATTTCTGTAATATGATGAACCATGCCTCTTATATGTATACTCATGAAAGATAATGAGGGAATGGTCGAACATGGGCTCCTCTAATACCTCCAATGTATCACTTGTGGTAATGGTTGCATGTTCCAACTATTTTTTATATTGCAGACTTGCAATCTTGCGATCTTTGCAATGGTCCTAATGCTATTCAGTTTATCGGCTTGCCAATATTTTGGTGTAGTTAGGGAGTACTTATTTTCCTCATATATGATGATTACAAATTAATAACATAGAATCAACTTAATTTTAAGTAATTGACCGTTTTCCAATTTCTTACTCTCAAACGGAATTTCATTTCGCTGTGTTTTCGATTTTATTTTGAATGGATGTTTCAAATTTGGTATATCGATTTGATAACATGAATGTGTATGTATTTCTATAGAAAGTAGCAAGTATTAGACCAAATATGATACTTCACGGAAGCTCATCGAATTTTTTCAATTCGAATAGAAATTACAATTTGTCATCGACTATTGTATAAAATATTCATAATGCATGTGTTTCTTCAAGCATTAATATATTCATTAATCACTAGTGAATAATAAAATAATCACAGATAGGCAATTAGGCAAGTTCGTTGAATATGTCAATTCCATCCACTCGTCAATAAAATTCACCACCGAAAGGGAGGTAAATGATTCAACAAATTACCTTTACGAAAAATAATCATAACCATAAATTTAAAATTTTCCCCAAACCATATTACACGGACATTATCAAATATAATTCCTCCATATACCCTTACCGGCATAAAGTAGCTGTATTCAATGGTATGCTCCATGAACTATTGGATATTACACTGTCTGAGAGTAATTTCCAGAGGGAGTTGAGTTTAATTAAAGAAATCGCGGTCAAAAACGGTTATAAGATAGATATTATAGACTCTATTCTTTCCAGAAAACTACAAAAGCAAGCCATGGACCAGGTCTACCCAAATTCAAGATGCGATAACTTCAGTTATCGTTGTCATTGTCATATTTGGCTGAATCAACCAATGATACTGCCTTTTTTGAAGAAACAATGCTTCAGCTTACAGAACGAATAATAGTCCAAATAATAGTCTAAGTAAATTTATTAAAAATAATAAAGACAAAACTGCAGTGTCGGATAGATCAGGAGTATATAAGCTGAATTGTGGCTCTTGCCCAATACTGTATATTGGCCAAACAGGGAGAACATTTTCCAAAAGAACTAAAGATCATAGAAGTAGTTTTGTAAATAGAAAGACCAATACCACATTTGCAAACCAACTTTTTGCAGAAGGACATGAGTACAGTCATGAATACGTTACATTTAGAAGAGAAGAGTTTGAAACTCAATCTTCTAGAATGTTTAGAAATTAATAGATTCCAGGAATTCTGGTAATTTACTGAATGGTCAATTAGGATTGAATATGACTTTTTTCAAATGTGGAAACTGGGACATAAGCTCAAGTGATTTAATTCATTACACACTCAGGTAAAACTCAAGTATTTGAAATGTAGGTACTTCAAATTGTAAAATGAAGTATATTGAGCAATGAATATGTAGATTATAGTTAGTAAAGATACGCCCGAAAAAGCCATTGTATGGCGAAAAACATGTTGCGTTTTTGTAAAACTGTTTAGTGAAACATTTTTGGCTGTGTGTTTCAGAAAGTAATTTGGAGTGTTTTTTGTGAGAAACTTTGTCAAAATCCAACAGATATTATTCAACGGTGATACGGAACAAAAGTTGTTTTCTGTTAGAAACTTGACAATGGAAATAACTGTTCTATCCGTTTGTATCAATGAATCTGAAGGGTCGTTCACTTATACTTCAAGAGTCCTTCTTCAGAGTAAATCCTTCACTCCCTTAGAGTGTATCCGTTTGAAATACAGACATATTGTACATAAAAACGTTGTAAATAAAGATTATTCATTTTTATTTTTTTTGTTCGGCTCTCGACCGAAAGGTTCCGAGTTCGAATTCGTCTTTAACCAGATATTTTTTACGAGAATTCATCATTTTGATGTGGATTGATTCTGCCATGTTACATGATTGCGAATACTCATGATACTCCCTAGGTGTGGTAGTTACCAACTACTGTGTTGATGATTAGAAAATTATTTCTTGTGTTTTCAGGTATAAATTAATAACGATTCTCATTGAAAATACACCATTTTGATTTGGTTAAAAACGTTGATTCGGTTGAGTTTATGGTTATTCATACTTACTTATAATCTTGGTATTGTTGCTGGAATCGGTACTCAGTAGGTTGTCGAGCAGGGTAATGATTATGAGGTGGCACCCTGGCTACATGACTCTCAGCTACTGTTGTTGGTGTGTCTTGCAAAGGTTGCTTGTCCTCATTTTTTCGACGAAACTGCCTAAGGGAGCTGGTTATACTCCCACTATTGGTCTGCAAAAAAAGTGTTCTTTCAAAAAACCTCTTATATTTTACAATAATTTTCTTTCAATCAGGTCTATATAAAGTTTTTCATTCATATACAGGGTGAGTCAACGAGATTCCCTCGGTCCATTGTTATCTGGGAAAACAATTTTTCGAATTGCTCAACTTTTTTTCTCAGTCATATCGATAGATATTAATCTTTTGAAATAATTTTCTCGCATACTGGGCGATTCAGCCAAGCGTGGCCAACCAAAGTTATATTTTTTTAATAGAACGCCCAGTATATGAATACGTCATTCGATTACACATTTTTTTAGCTCTCTGAGGAATTTTTGTTTTCGAATTTCCATTGCGACATTGCCAACTTAATCCAGAAAAACCTATTTTGCAAAAATTTTTTTAATTCGCCACCCGCATGTCTACAACAATATATAGGGTGCTCGGTAAAACCGGTCAAGTTTCATCCATTTTCAAACAGACATAATTCAACTTTTTCAAATGGAACACCCTGTATTTTTCATTTGTATGAAATATTTCAACAGTTCACTACATTTTTCATCAGAAGTATACGATACGAAAAACAGATATTTTGCAAATCATACCCAGTTTTATCATTTGTTGTAACCACAAAAAATTCATTTAGTTACGTTCAACTACTCAAAATTTTTTCAATATGAATAATAATGCCGTAATTTTTTATTAAATAGAGGAGTCCAAAAATGTTCAAAATGGCGACCATTTTCTGCGAAACATAAAATCAGTCTTTTTATAAACGAATTATTTTCACGTTCTAACATATCCTCTGGGATTTCCATGAAAAAAAGTAATTCTTCGTTTCATGTCTTGTATAGGTGTTGGAGGAGTTTGGTAAACAATCCATTTGATATACCCCCATAAAAAAATCAGGTCAGTTGATTTGGGTGGCCACGCCACAGGCCCACCCATACCTATCCATTTTTGATTGAAATGATTATTGAGGTATTCCCGTACCTCAGTTGTAAAATGTGGTGGTGCACCGTCTTGTTGTAGCCACATTCTAAGTCTTATTCCATATGGAACCGCGTCCAATAAATTCGAAAACTCATGCCGAATAAATCTTTAAAATTTTCTTCCAGTGAGATGCCCATCCAAAAAAATACGGACCAATAACTCTTTGTCCGAGAATTCCACCCCAAACATTTAGTTGACCAACGCTGTTGATGGTTTACACAACGAACAAAATGGGGATTTTCCGTTCCATAATGATGCATGTTATGCCGGTTCACAGTTCCATTATTATGAAAAGTCGCTTCATCAGAAAATAACACTAAATAGAAAAAAAACATTTTCCTGATTGATCTTTTTTTTTCTAAGCCCCTTCGACAAAATTGAACATGTTTTTTGGAATATCTTCTTCTTAACTCTTGCATCAATTACATGTGGTAAGGATGGAATTTGCTTGCTCATATTATTCGAGACACGCTAGTTTGTGAAAATCCCAATTCCCTCGGGTACTCACATGGGAATTTTCAACAAGGTGAAGAGTTATTTGAAATGTATTCTCTCCATTTGTTACAGGGCAGACACGTTCAAGCTTCTCATGATTGACATTACGAGTTCCTTCAAATCTTGTTTTTAGAGCATGAAATGCCCTTCCATCCGGTTGTCTTCTGTTTAAAAAATCTGTTTAAAAACTGTTTTTTCGTTAACCAGCTGTCGCACCCTTACGAACGACAACCCTCAGTAGCCGAAACTTGGGCGGGCTAAGGATTAACGAGGTCTTACCTTTTAACGTGTGATTCCTAGCACGGATTCCTATATCCCCTCATTACCGACAAGAGCAAGCTAAGTCTTGATAACCAAGTTTGACTTTATAAAACGATGTTCAAAGCAGTGATGATGAACGCCTCAGGGGCTATGTAGCAAGAACACATGTCGATATCCTGAAACGGGTCCAGAATAAAATGATAAGGAAGACCAACGCTCTGTGGTACGTGCAGAACGTCAACATAAGACGGGATCTGAATCTGCCTACCATACGGCAGAGTATGCAGACCCGAAATCGTAGAGTTTTTGTAAATTCCGAAAATTCTTTAGTAAGGTACTACGCTATCGACAACCCTTCCCGCTTCAAGAGGCCTCGCATATCCGCGAGATGAGGTTACTGGTAGTGGCCACTATACAGATGAACTGAGTTCATCAACGGTGGCGAGAATATTCTCGAACGTGCATCGCACCTTTTAGAGTCAAAGTAAGCCTGTAAACAGGCAGCGTGAGCGAAAAAGTTAGGGGGTTAGACCACAGTATATAAGTAAACACCAGTAAGTTCACTCTCCCCATATTTGGGTCAAGATTCCCCACCTCGACTTTTATGCGCGGCCGAACTACAGCGCAACCGACTGAATCTGAGGCGTTTACCAAGCGAGCCAAATTGAGGCATGTAATATTATTACAGAGTGAGTCGTTGTAACTGGTGGTTTTGTATTTGTGAAAATTTGTGTCTAGTTTCAAAATGAGCAAGTGTCAAGCTGTGGGTTGCTGTAATTTGCAGGGTGATGTCGGCATTCATTTTTTTCGATTTCAAATTGACGAAAAAAGGTATGTTTTTCTATTATTCATTATGTAGGATTGAAGTAATGAACATATAACGAAAATCATAAAATAAATTGTTATAGATCATATATAGTGAATATGCATCATCAATATGCAGACTTTTTATTATGAATTTAATTTGATGAAATTGAATTTCAGGAATAGTATATGCCTTCAGATCCACTGGAAATCCACAAAGGAAAATAATTGTTGAACCACATCAAGTTTTGATTTGTATCTGTATGAAAACAATTACTTCCACTGAAATCTTTGCAAAACCAAAGTATCAAATGTATATTCAAATAACCTTTTTTGGAGCCTACTTTCNCTCTTCAGTATTTCACACAGGCAGAAGGAACTAACTGTCTAGAAGATACTAGTGAGATTCTATCTAGTATTACAGATGCAGATATAAATAGAATAAAGATTCTTGTGGAAGTTCAAAAAAATCCCTATAAACCTTTGAGAGTAGAGATAAATGATTATATAACTCTAGCCACTCCAGAAGGCAACAGCTTGGGCTATGTTCGTGGATATCTTTTGAGAAAATGTTCAAGAAAACATTCATGCCACGGCGGCTAGTACGGCACTGAATGAAACAAATGTAGGTATATAGTCATTTCAAGGCATATGATAATACAGTAGCCAGTCAGTTTGGAAATTTTTATATGCCTACAGATCCATTTTTACAATGTATCATTCATCTAGAGACAGAATTTCTTAATCATTTCAACAATGTATGTGCCACTGATCGTGATAATTTTCCTTTGAATTATTTATTTTCTCTTTTCACAAGGGTAAGAATTTATTATACTTTGAAATTGCCAATAGAAATTTGAAAACAAATGTTAAAAAAAGAAATAAAAAACTCATCATTCTGAAAAACCTTTAGAATATACCTATAGAAATATATTAGCATAAGTTTTTGACCTAAATTGTATAATCTTACCACATAAAATATACGTTCATTTCACCACCTTGTCTTATTTTTTATGAATTCCTAATCAGTTCACAATATGAGACATTTATTGGGAGCTCCTCGTAGCAATGATGAAGTCAGATCATGGTCACATATTTTTTGATCGAACCTCGTGCAGAGGTGCACTATTGTGCACCTCTGCAAACCCTTGCCGACACCCTCCTGCCCGGCCATATGCCAGCAAAAAATAAAATCTCGACCCGAAACATCAAAGACACCGACGGGAGTGAATTTACTTCTATTTACTTATGTACGGTGGTTATACTCTAACTTGTTTGAACGAAAGACGACGATAGGCTGAAATTAGTCAAGTCCTAGGCGAGAGGTAACACTTCGAAACCGCGGTCTGCAGGTGAGAAATATCTGCTAGACTAACCTCTGTGAAGTATCTTGCATAAATTCAATATCCAGCGTGGTATTAGCCGAGGAAGTTTTTGTTTTCCGACAGAGATTTACCAGAGCCTACCTACTGTGTAGGTAGCTGGGAGAGATGGATATTTCGAAATATTCTCATACGTATGTATCTCTCCACGATAGTTTTTCACTTTTGATTTCAATTAGGGATGTGATAGGGCAAAGACAGTTTCCAATTTAGTTCATAATATGAAAGAGAAAAGAATTATCACTACAACGGTTTTGAAAGAAAACGCATATTCGGAAAAGTTTATGAAAAGAGCCCTCAATGAAGTTGGTGAAATCAATACACAACGTATACAGATCCTACAATCACCACAAACCCAACAACAATACACATACCTCACAACTAACGTCATACGCTATGTTCTCAGTTTGTCTGAGAAACTGAAACGCATCGGTTAAAGTTGTACGTTTGTTCATTAGTTCATATCATTAGTTCGGACTTCCACTGTTTAACATGATATAAACTAATTTGAAATCCCTGAAAGAATGAATGAAATTGAAATGAGTAGCTGAAAATAACAATTAAATTAAGCAAAAAAACCTGAAATGAAATAACAATAAAAACAATTAAACATTTAACAATTAGAGAGAAATAAAAATTGGCTTCAAGCCAAGTTACTTCACGACGTTTCGATTGTTAGTATCTTAAATCGTCTTGGGGTCCTCCGAGAGATGAATATTTATTTCGAAAGCTTTCACCTATCCCCTCTTTCCTTTCTCCGCTTCACCGGTTTGGCAGGAGCTGACCGTTTGGCGGGAGTTGACCATTTTCCTCCATATGTTGCGTATCTCTACGCTAGTCTGGCTTAATGCGTTGTTGGACAACATATATGCGGCTTCTTTGAATTTCCTCCTTAACCAGTGTTTCCCCTGTGCATGATCTCAGCTTGGAACCACTTGATGTTATGTTGATGAGTCCAACTATGCTCTACTATTACCGATTTCCGGGTTTCTCGTCGCTTTGTGTTTTTCTTGTGCTCGGCATTGAGGACTCAATGGCTTTTTAGTTTCACCGTTAAAGGATTTTCCGCACTCGCAGGGTATCCGGTGAATGCAATTCTTGGAATTGCAGTCCGCGTTTGGTGGCCTGGTTTTCGTGAGGCTGCTGTTTCCGGATCTGAAGCAGGTTCTGACGTTATACCTGGACCTAATTCTTCTTATCCTTTCCCATAATCCTATGATGTAGGGAAGTGCAAGTACTGGTTGTGACGGTTATAGTTTAATGAGAACAACGTTTACAACTACCAAACTACTAAAGTACTACTACTAAACCCGAAAATACGGTTGGAAAAACAAAGATTTTATTTACGATATACCTTCTTCCTGTGTAAAAGGTATATTGGTGAAACCTCAAGACCACTAGATGCGAGAAAAATTAACATCGTGGTTATATAAGGAGAAGGCAGATGGCAGGATCGGGGATAGCGGAGCATATTCTAAAATCAACTGGTGATCACGCTATAGAATGGAGTGAAACAAAAATTATCACCAAAGATACTCATAAAAAAAATTAATTGCCATTACTCAGAAGAGAGGTTGAAAACGGAAATATAAACCTTGAATGAATTTTCAAAAACATCCAGTATATGTATTCATGTAGACTATCGCATATGCCGTCTGGACATTTCATTCTTCTGACGTATGTCAAAATAATTGAAGCTATTCACAATTTGAGGCAAACGTTTAAAAGTGAATTTCAGGTTTTGGAAACAGAAAAATATTGTTTTCCGAAACGTCGTTCAATTGATTTTTTTTAATTTGTAGGCAAAATTTATGAATACAACAAGTTACTGACTGATTGGACTCTTCAGTGGTTTATTTTGTGCAATAACGCAACTTTTCGGGGTGAACTTTTCAGTTTGCCCTTTATTAAACTTCAGCAGATTCTCTCTTGATTTAATTTTCAGATTTTGGAAGGTTATATACCCCAAAAAACAGTAAGAAATATGAAGTATAAGTATTAACTTAACTTAACCTGAATTGATTTTCATGTTTGATTCGAGTGAGAAATTCAATTTATATTATGCAGCGGCGACCCTATATTATTTTTCAAGCGGTGCGAGAT